TCTCTTTTGGACACTTGCCACCATTAGAACTTGCGCAAGCTGGTGTGGAAATGGTTAATGCTCTTGGCTGCTAACAGAAAGCTTAAAGGTTCAAGTATACTCAGAAGCACCTCAAAAGAAAAGCCTAGCGATGTCCTTGAATACCCTATCAAGAACAGTTCTAATCTGACATACATGGGGTCGCCTTGAGTTGGTATCAACTGAACAGCAACTGGAAACCCTGCTAGAGGATCAAAGAGCATGAGAAGAGCTGAGGCACCCCAACCAATATCCTGCCATCCTTAGAAGCTGAACTACCTGGCCAGCCTGCAGTTGACCATTAGAACTGCCCAGCTGAGACCAGTTTAACTTCCTCTAAGTCACAAGCAAAATGTTTGTTTCAAGACACCAAGCTTTAGGGTGGTTTGTTACACAACGACAAATCACTGAGCGTTATCTACCACCTAAGATATGCTGCAGAGTAGTTTTCTACTGGAGTGAACCAACGCAATCCATCTGCACCTGAGGCAGGATTAAGAAATCCAAGGCTCTTCAACCAAAGCTCTGGAAGATACTAAGCTGCTGCTGCTGCTTTTTTTTTTAGCTCCTTGCTTTCAGTAACTTAAGGGTACTCCATTAAAAAATAATCATTGGCTATCTTCATGCTTACTCCTAGGAAATTAAAATCTACTGATCTCAAATTCAACACTAGTATCTTGTATTTAAGTAGCATTTTATAGCTTATAGCAGAGTAGGTATTACTACATCCATCTTACAAATGAGGAAATCAAGTCACAGGGCAAGTCAAATGATTTATACAAGTAGTAAACAGCAAGGCTACAATACTTAGAACTAAACCTACAGACTTCCAGCTCTTATGCTAAAAACTTGGGTCAGTATTGGTATATAATTTTTCAGGTACCTAATCGTCCAATCTATGAGGCACTGTTTTCTTTCTTGTAAAACTGGACATAACATGACTTAGCTTAAGGGTTGTTTTGAGGAGCAAACAAAATGTTTGTAAAGCACACAGCATAATGCCTAGCACAAAGGTTAGGCCTGTTGCCCCTACTCACCATGATAAAGTTTTCTCTTTCCCAGGCTTGACAACCTCAATCCTTACAGTACTGAACATAACTTTAAATGATAAAATTTCCAGATAATTTAGGCAAATTTATTTCTACAGTAGAAGCATTTATTTCAGTTATACAAAAATAACAGTATTTCAAAGTAGGTTAACTATGGAGAAGTAAATTTTTTCCTTGTCTACCCATATCTAAATACCACATATGGTTTCAAGCTATTAAAAAGGAACACAGTATCAAGGTAGTGTCTTATCAATACAACAAATGCATTAAAGCTATGTATCAGGCCTAGAAATCAGAAAACACAAAGTGATCTAGTGCAGGAATTCTCAAACTTTAGTGTGAATCACCTTG